GGGGCGTGTTTCTGCTCGTGCCGCAAGTCGAGCATTTGTAGAGGCTTGTTGTAAGGGGATCGCGCTGGACGCGGACGTCGGCCGCCCAGCGAGTGCCAAGGCAGCCAAGGCGGCCAAAGGCGGACGTACCACGGACATTGCCCGGCCCGACATCGCCCGGCATTTGCTCCACGGGAGGTCTGAACCGGAGCACGCCCCGTGCCATCGCCACGCCCTGCCGCCACACCCCGCCGCACCCCGCCGCACCCCACCACGCCCCGCCACGGCGCAGTAGTGACGCGGAAGGGCAGCGCGTTGGCGTCCGCCGCGCCGCGAGGTGGCCGTCGTCGTCCCCGTGAAGGCGATGCTGAGGGCGATGCTGAGGGCGGCGGGGAAGGGGTGACTTACGACTTCCGAACGTGGCCGCCGTGGCCGCCCCGCCGGCCGGACGTGCTGGACGTGCCGGCCGTATCCTCTCCAGGACTCCAGTGGGCTGATTCCAAAGGGGGGGGGGGTGTCCTGCGGTCTGTCTCTCTCGCACCCATAGGTGGGGAGCGTTGTCTTTTTCGCATATCTCCAGGTGCAAAGTGTTACTGTTTGCACACCTTCTAGGTGACTTTCCTGGGGTAAGAAGAAGGAGGGGGGGGGGGCCTCGCCAGCAGATCATTCACCCCTCGCCGTCCCCCGTCGTCTCACTCGACGCACAACGCACAATGCCCCCTCGTCGCAGATTCAGATTCGAATTCACTTTGCGATTCGGACCAATTGAAAACGGCATGGAGGCGAGTAGAGTGACCGCCGCGCCGCCGGCATGGAGATGAACTGCGCGACGGCGGCGACGGCGGCGACCGGGACGGGGGGAAGGAGGAAGAAATGGATACAAATGTGGGGGCTTTTTGTCTCGTTTGACGCGCCGGCGGCCGGAGGGGCCTAAATGAATTGCCCTTCTGTGACGCGGCGGAGCGGCGGAGCGCACCCTACACTCTAATGATGAATGTGCTTGGCCTCGGCAGCCTCGGCTAGAGGCCTCAGCCGGATGCTGCAGTTGCCCCCTCCCCCTCCCCTGAGCCACTCGATCCAGTCTAAGCCTCTCGCTGGCCGTCTCGGCCGCCCCGGCCGCCCCCACGTCCACGGGCCGATCCGAGCGGGGCTCCCGTCGCTCTGTCTCTGTCGCATCCTCACGGGAGCTGCTGCATCTCAATGAGTGCGACAGAGACAGAGCGACGACGGATTAGCATTGTTTGGAATCGGCCTGTCTCGCACCCATGGGGCGTCCCGTCGGGGTGCGAGAGAGACGGAGAGGCGCAAGCACAAGAGTTTGCTAAAGAAACGCGTCGTCTTTGAAGGTTTCTTTTCATTTTCTGCACGAGTCGTTGGGGCTTCTGAGACGCGGCCTGCCACGTTTGACGGGCAAGTGACGTCCCCGTCACCCCGTCCCCCTGACTCCCGATAGCCGCCGCTGCGGGGCGGGGCTTTTAGTGTAGTGAGCGCGGTCTCTGGCCTGTAAGTAAGGAGCTGCAGACTGATTCCGAGAGTCGTTTGTGTCGCTCCGTCTCTCTCGCACCTACACGGAACACCCCATGAGTGGGAGGGAGACGGAGCGACGACTCTCGGAGTCAGTCTGCTGGTAAAAATAGCCGTGGAGTCACGGAGCCGTGTGGCGCCCAGCCTTCCTTGCCGGCCGGCGGCGTGGCGCTGCGCTCTGCGCTCTGACGGCGCGCCGGGGAACTACACACACCACACACCGCACATGGACATGCACTTGCACATCCTGTTCTCGAGTGGAGGCCTGCTGGCCGCAGCTGCTGCCGCTTGGAAAGCTTTTCATACATGCGCCCTAACGTCCCACAGTGAGCCAGAAGACCGTTGGAGGCGGCCAGAACTCTAGACGCGTTTTGAGCTCCAGAGTCGCTAAACAGGACTCGAACGGATCGTGTGACCCCACCAATGGATTCCTCGTCTGGAGAGCAATTCATCGGTGGGGTCACAAGTTCGGTACGAGTCCTATACAGCGACTCTGGAGCTCAAAACGCGTCCGGGATTTTGACCGCCTCCACCGGTCTTCCGCCCCGCTTGGCCCTGGGTGCTGAACCACTGAACGGTACCCTCCGCGCACCCCTAGGCGCCGCCGCATGAGTCTGAGAGAGACAGCGGCCGTGTTCCAAGAGCGCTTCGTTTGGACGCGGGTTTATGGTGTATGGCCACTGACCCCAAAGTTGACTGAGCCGCGGCCGGGGCGAATAGTCGTCTCGTCGCTCGCCGTCTCTCTCGCGCTCGTGGGGCGCCCCGCGGGGGTGCGGGAGAGGAGAAGCGATTCTGCGGACAGGAGCGGTCCACTCGCTGCGTCGCGGCGTGGCGGTCCAAGTGGCGGGCGGTCGGGCCTCGCCTCGTTTTCGCAAACATGCATACATTGCGGCCGCCGTGCCGCGCCGCAGTCGCAGCTGAGTGAATATTGAAGCACATGCGACGGCCCGGCGGCGGCCCGGCTCGAGGGCTGGCCTGCTGGCCTCGGGGGGCCTCTGCGTCGCCGTCGGCGTCGTCGGTTCAGAGCTCAAGGTCCCCGTCGATGACATCGCCGCCGTGCCTCGCCGCCGAAAGGCGCAGAAAGGCCCAAGAAAAAGTGGCGGCCCGCGGACCGGCCCACCTTATTGCTTTGCCCGGCTTTGCCCATGTTCGCCAATCTTTTCGTTTTACTACTCTGGCCCCGCCAGTGGCGTGGCCGCGGCCGCGTAGCGCCGCGTAGCGCCGCGTAGCGCGGGTGTGCTGGCAGGGAAGTGGCGGCGACTGCTTTGCTGACCCGTGCGGCCGCGCGTCGGTGACGTCACCCCGCGGCCTCGGCCTCAGCGCAGTGTAGTGCCTCTTGCTGGTGACCGGCGCCGCTTGTCGTCTGACGACACTGACGGCGCTGCGGTGAAGGCGTCCTCCATCCTCCATCGCACGCTGCCTGTTCTAGACGCGTTTTGAGCTCCAGAGTCGCTAAAAAAGACTCGAAATGATCTTGTGACCCCACCAATGGATTCCTCGTACGGAGAGCAAACCATTGGTGGGGTCACACGCTCGGAGCGACTCTGGAGCTGAAAACGCGTCTAGAGCTTCGGCCGCCTCCACCCGCGGTCTTCTGGCCCACTGTGCGCCGGTGGACTCTGCGGCGCGGCACGCACAATGTCATTCCCCCTCCCAGCCGGGCCTGGCCCAATGGCCTACGGGCCTCATCACCAATAAAATGCAATCAAACTTGTTGACGGACCGCCGCCAATGATACCCACCGTGCGGCGTGCCGGCCTCGGTGCCGTGCCGCGAAGGACAGGGAAAACAGACGTAGACAGGCGTGGGTCTTGGGAAAGGGGAAGGGCGGCAAGTTTCCCACCAAAAGCCTTACTTTGCCCTTGTGGGCCAAAAGTGCCACCCCCGCCCCCTTTCCTTCTCAAGGCCGCCTCTGGACCCGCCACTGGCCCGAATTTGATGTGGCTGAGGCAGCTGGCCGACTGCCGACTGACGTGACCCTGTGACACAACTGGACGGGCTGTTTATCTCAATGAAGCGCGAGTGAGTCACTGTTATCGATACTTTTTCTCTCTTGTTTTGGTATTTTTGATGCCCCTGATCGATGACCTCACAGCCTCCATTTGGCACGGAGACGACACCCGACCCCGACCGGTCTTCGTCGGGTCCGCGCCCATTCCTTTTCGTCGCTCTGTCTCCCTCGCACCCATGCCGGGCGCCCTGAGTGCGAGAGAGACAGAGCGACGGAAACGACTCTCGGGATCCAGCCAGCTGAGCCCGAATGACTTTTTAACGAAATGACTGACGGGCCTTACTGATGGGGCAACTTGATTCTGGAAAAGGATTCGCGGTGTTTCGCTTCGCTCTGCGTGTAGCGCCTGGCCATGCCTGGCCATGCCTGTCCGCCTAGAGCCCTAAATCGGGAATGTCGTTTCGCTGCTCGTCGGACAGGCGCTCCCTGCCGGTCCACCGCGGACACAAACTTGCGAAGGCTAGCCTAAAGACTCTGGCGCGAGGCGGATGACTGGCGCGGTGATGTCATGCACCGAGGCGGCCAAGGCAGACGTCTTCGTCGCTCTGTCTCTCTCGCACCTGCTCGGGACGCCCGATGAGCGCGAGAGAGACAGAGCGACGAAAACCACTCTCGGAATCAGTCCGCAACTCCTGACGACCGGCATTTGCGGATTTGGCCTTTTTCTTTATTTCCTGGCGACGCCGCGGCCGTGGCTCTGGCTTTGGCGCTTTGGTTGCTTTGACGGGGAAGCTTTGGTTTGCGGCCAGGACCTCGCTGCGGTCGCTCTCATGTCCTTCCCTGGCGCCCCGTCGGCGGCGTCGCGCACCCCCGGCCCGCCGGGCCGCGGTCGCGGTCCCTCGCTGGGCCCCGCGTCACTGCCACTGCCACCACACCGCAAAGGCCTGGTTGGTTGCCCTGCCCGATTTGCCGCGCTGTTTGCCTCCGGTTTCACGTCGCTTCGGACTGCAGACTGATTCCGAGAGTAGTTTTCGACGCTCTGTCTCTCTCGCACTCATGGGGCGTCCCGTACAGGTGCGAGAGAGACTCAGCGACGAAACCTCTCTCAATCAGTCTGCAGGCGTCGGGGCGTCCTTGGGGTCGCGGCCCGCAAGGCCTGCACAGTGTCCCACTGGGAGTAGGACGAGTAGGAAGGGCTCGCGCTTCATGGAGGCGGCGCGCTGCGCGCTGGCCCTGGCGGCCCTGGGTCGCAGTTAGAGGAAGTGGGTCAGGCGCGGTCAGCTGCAGCGAGAGGGAGAGAGAGCCACCCATCATCATCACACTCATTACGGTCGGCTCTTTTTCTCTTTTTTGTGCAATTCTTTATCCCTCTCCTTCCGCCTCCTCCTATTAAGCAATTGTTGTTTTACTTTGCACTTTTACGCGCGCTCGCAGCGAGCGAAAGCGCGCACTCTGCAAACGGGGAAACGGAAAATGTTTTGTACTGTATTGGAATGGTGCGCGCGTCTGGCAGAGCGTGGCTGACCATCGGTGATTTGTGTTTCAGGAACGAGTGCAGGCCAAGGACCCTCCCGGCCACTACCTCAACAAGCTGCGCACCTACCTCGACCCCAAGGCCTCGAGGAGTTCGCGGGTGAGTTGACGAAGAGAGGCTTGCGGTGTCGTGGACGTCAAAGGATTTGCAGGACGAGAGTGCCAGGGACTTGCGGGACGAGGCGACAAAGGACTTTGCAGGACGAAGCGACCAAGGACTTGCAGGACGAAGCGACCGAGGACTTGCAGGACGAAGCGACCGAGGACTTGCAGGTCGAGGCGACCGAGGACTTGCAGGACGAGGCGACCAAGGACTTGCAGGTCGAGGTGACCGAGGACTTGCAGGTCGAGGTGACCGAGGACTTGCAGGTCGAGGTGACCGAGGACTTGCAGGACGAGGCGAGACGACATGACTCCGACGGGGGGGACCACCACGGGACCAGCTAGCACGGGAACCACCGCTGGTTCGGGACAACCTTCACGTCTTCCTGTCTCTGTCTTCGACACCCCCTCCTGCTCACCCTTTCCAGGATGCAAATGGGGTGGATTTTCTCTGCAGGCTTTCCACGACAAGTCAGGGGGAACACAGCGACGACGAGACACTTGATGCCCTTGCCCGTGGGTCCACTCTTGGCCCTTGGCTCTGTGGTGCACGCCGGGAGGCACGCCGAGCGCAGCCAAGCGCACAGGTCACCCTGTCCTTCGTCCTTCCCCTCCTGGTCCTCCTGCCTAGGTGACACATTCCTGTTGTTGCGCAGGCTTGCCTGGATCGCACTTCCAGCCTTCTGGTGCTGTTCTGTCGCCCCGGCTCTCCGTGCAAGGTAACGCCCTCCCAGAGGTAGAGGTAGCTCCAAGAGGGAGCCCCCAGTTCCCAGTGCCTCCACTCCCACTGGCCTCCCTCTTGACTGGGCTGGACCGGCTGTTGGTACACTTTGAGAAAGACCTCACCTCCTAAGGGGAATGGCTGGCTGGTGTCGATTTTCGGCTAGCAAAAATGAAAGCAATCTTTCCATGTGGTTAATAATGCATCCCCTCCTTGTTTTCTCATGTAATCCGGCATTTTATTTTGTTTTACTTTACCCTTTTTATCCCTTTTTTGAATTTTTTGCCTTGTGGTTTCGTCTGGGTGTGTTGGTTTCATCTTGCTCATGATGGTAATGGTCGGCATGTACTCAGAGATGCATCGTTACTTCCTACTTGGCATTTGAACTTGAAAATGCCTGGTGCAAATTTCAAACGCTGAAAACGTCATTTTCTGTTGCTATGCCCCTCCCCTCCATATCTGTCAACGTGACATGCTGCATTCAACTACTTCTGCGACATCAACATTCGCTGTTCTTTTGCTCAAACTGTTTTTGCCATTTTCTACAGATTTTTGTTTTTTGTTCTTCCCTGTTCTGCTTGTGGATTTGGTATCATTTAAAATGTACATTGTGGAATATCTAGTAAACATTACTGAAATCTGTTGCAGAAACGGAAAATGGTGGGGGATGCTACATCAACGCAGGTACTACGAGACCTTGAGATATCACTGAGGACCAATCATATTGAGTAAGTTCATCCGTCTCTCATCTGTAAATTTTTCCTGTGCCCTTACGTTGTTTCTTTAATGCAACCCTATTTTTTTTTGTCTCAAGGTGGGTCAGAGAGTTTCTTGATGACCAAAATCAAGGCTTGGATTCCTTAATTGACTATCTCAGTTTCCGCTTGGTCATGATGAGGCATGAACAGAGGCAAACTGAATCAAGGACCAATTCAGAGGAGCGAATTCATTCCCGTAAGTGTACACCACCATCTTTCTAAAATTTAATAATATTATTTCTTTTTCCTTTCATATTTCTTATTTTATGTATTCTTATTGACTTTGCAGCAGCAGGCAGTACTTTATCCTCAAGTAATGGCCCTAATGCACACAATGGTCATATACGTCCTGCTTTAGATATTCTAGACAGTCCTGCTCTAAAACGCAGGTCAAGACATATGGCAAAGCTGCGGATGGGTGATGCGAAAGATGACATTCATGTGTGCATCATGTGTTTGCGTGCCATTATGAACAATAAGGTATTTTTTTAACAAATTTCTTTGTAAAATTGAATTGTTAAGTGCTGTGTCCCTTATCTCATGCCCTATCTCTCTGTTTAGTATGGATTTAACATGGTTATACAACATCGAGAGGCCATCAACTGTATAGCATTAAGTCTTATGCATAAGAGTCTGAGAACGAAGGCATTAGTTTTGGAGCTACTTGCTGCTATCTGTCTAGTCAAGGGAGGTCATGAGATTATTCTCTCGGCCTTCGACAATTTTAAGGAAGTTTGTCATGAAACTCGTCGCTTTCAAACACTTATGGATTATTTCATCAACTATGAAGTATTTCATATTGAATTTATGGTAAAGTATATTCGCCTAATGATTATTGGACATATTATAGTATTTTTGCTCATCCCCTATAGTTGAATTATTGTATTTCAATTTGTTTACAGGTTGCTTGTATGCAATTTGTGAATATTGTGGTTCACTCTGTGGAAGATATGAATTTCCGTGTTCATTTGCAATATGAGTTCACTAAATTGGGATTTGACGATTATTTAGAAAAGTTACGCCATACTGAAAGTGAAGAACTCCATGTGCAAATTTCTGCCTATCTGGATAATGTGTTTGATGTAGCTGCTTTGATGGAAGATAGTGAAACAAAAACAGCAGCCCTTGAAAAGGTTGCTGAACTGGAGGATGAGTTAGGACATGTAAGCATCAAAATTCTGCTCTGAATCTTCACATAACTGGTTCTTTTTCTCTCAGAACTGCAACAGTAATGTATATTGTTTATTTTGCAGGCCCACGACCGATTAGCAGCTTCAGAAAGAGAGTGTTTATGCAAGCTGGCTTCCCTTGAGAGTGAACTAGTGCAGCTCAGATCAGAACGTGATGAAATCTCAGCAGAGCTTCAAACTTTAAGACGAACTGCTCAGCAACACCAACAGGATGCCCATAATAGACAATCACTTCTGGAAAATAAAATTCAAGAACTGGAGACCCTCACTCGAACCCTGCCAAGACCAGACAGTATGTTTTTGCTCGATTCGAATTTCTTTCAAAGAAGAAGAGTTGGCCGTGGTATTAATGAAGCGTTTGTTCGGTTGCAGGTAGCAGCAGTGGAGTCAGTATGGGGTCCAGCAATTCCTTCTCTTCCCTCTCGTCCTCGTCCTCGCCCCCGGCCCCCAGCCTGCCCCCAACACCTGTCCCGCCTCCCCCTCCGCCCCCGCCCCCTTGCCCACCACCGCCACCCCCGCCCAACTCGGGCAGCTCTCCTCCCATCCCACCCCCGCCGATCCCTGTGCCTCCGCCTCCAGGTTTCATGGCAGCTCCTGATGGTGCCATGACAATCAAGAGGAAAGTGCAGACGAAATATAAATTGCCAACGCTCAATTGGGTTGCCTTGAAACCAAATCAGGTAGGTGACAGTAAATTATTGTTCAAATTTCTATCTTATTGTAATTCCAAATTTGGTTCACACTCTCATGTTTGTGCTTTTGTGTTCAGGTGCGGGGAACTGTGTTCAACGAACTAGATGACGACAAATTGCACTCAATGATTGACTTCACTGACTTTGAAGAGAGGTTCAAACTTGGTGTGGGCCCTGCCGTTGCTGCTGGGGACAGCTCTGAAACAGACGGACTCACCTCATTCTCCAGCAAGCGCTTTAAGAAGCCAGAGAATGTATCCCTCCTGGAACATACTAGACTGAGAAATATTGGTATGTTGTCTCTGCTTTTTGGTTATAACTTGTAGCTTCAAATTATTATTTTTAAATTAAAGTTTGGTATTTATGTTGAATAATTTTTTTTTCAGCCATATCCCGCCGTAGAATGGACATGAGTGTTGACAAAGTCATCAGTGCAGTTAACTGTCTAGATCTGAAAACTTTACCACTGGAAAGTGTAGAAATCCTTCAAAGAATGTGCCCCACTGAACAGGAGGTGAGGAATCCCTATTCTTCTGTTTTGTGTCCATCCCATTTCATGCTCTTGTTGTGGTACTGCTTCTTAACGTTAATTTTTCTCTTTCATGTGCAGTCAAAAGCATACCGCGAGTACATTTTGGAGAAGAAGGACATCAATTTGTTGACTGAAGAAGATAAATTCTTGCTCCAACTTAGCCGTGTTGAGCGTCTCAACACAAAATTGACTATTATGTGTTATATTGGAAACTTTTTCGACAATGTTCATCTTATCACACCAGTAAGTGATAGAAAAGACCTTAAGACTTGCTTTTTTTTTCATCCTTCAGAAATTTATTATTAGTATAAATGAAAATTATGATTTGATTTTGATGTGACATGTGGAAATATTTGTTTACAGCAAGTACATGCCATTATATCTGCAGCAAGTATGGTGAAAAACTCTGCCAAACTACGGCGCATCCTGGAAGTGATCCTTGCCTTCGGAAATTATTTAAACAGCAGCAAGAGAGGGCCTGCTTATGGTTTTAAACTTCAGTCCCTGGATTGTTTGCTAGACACCAAGAGTGCTGATAGGCGTCAATCATTACTGCACTACATCGCTCAAACAGTTCGTGTTAAGTTCCCAGATCTTCTCAGCTTTGAGTCAGAGCTTTTGTACATAGATAAAGCAGCAACTGGTATGTAAACATGTTTAAGTTGTTAAATTGACTTTATTTTTCAAATAATGTAAACTTATTTTTGATTTACCTGTTTGTTTTAGTCTCTCTTGAAAATGTACGCACTGATCTGACTGAGCTGGAGAAAGGCATGGAAGTGGTAAGGCGTGAAGCGGAACAAAGAGGAAACAATCCCAGTGCTGTTGGTAATGCTGCGAATAATGGTGCATCACTAGTTCTGAAAGATTTCTTAGCAAATGCAGAAGAAAAATTAAGGAGACTGAAAACTGATGTGAAAAATGCTCAAGAAACTTTCCGAGACTGTGTTGAGCTGTTTGGCGAATCCCCTCGCACAACAGATGCCAATGCATTCTTCTCATTGTTTGTGAGATTTTCCCGCTCATTCAAAGTAAGGTTTAATGAGACATGTTTGAATTTGCCTTTTAATAAGAGTTTCTGATTGTTGTTACTATAATTTGTTTTTTACTTTTGCCTTTTTAAGATGGCAGATCAAGAAAATGAACAGCGCCTCAGACTTGAGCAGGCTGCTTTGGCTTCAAAGCAAATAGAAGATCAAAGTGCTGCTCCTAATCAAGAAGTTCTACGTCGAAACAAGCTCAACCAGAAAAAGCAGCAGGTTGGTTGCGTACTTTCCTTAATATGTAGAATGGCCTGAAAAAGCATTATGGTCACTTCATGTAAAACTTAAACTCTTTGTTAAAGGAAAGACATCAAACTTAAATTGATTCTTCATGTTTTTTTCTTTATTTATGTTCATGACTGCTAAGTTTTTGGCCTGAAAATTTGAAATTGATTAGATAGAAGTTGTCTCGTGTGCAAACCACCACTACTGTCAAAAGAAGGCTGTTTGTGGGCTTGGCTTTGGCACTTAAGTGGCTTTGTGTGAGTGTTGTGTTTATAATGTTGCATGCTGTGAATGTGATGACTGACAGAAGTCAAAAGCACTAGAGAGGGATGATATGCATACTGCAAGCTATGAATTCCTTTCTGTTGTTTTGTCTATGGATGTATGCTTGATCAGATGTAGTCCTACAACATTACCAATATGATGTGTTGTTACTTTTGGTTTATATTGCTCCCATCTTTGTTTTAAATCAAAAATCTAACTACCACAAGTCCCAATTGTACATTTTTATGTATCTATGTATGTTCTGCACATGTGGCTCCTCTCTCCTCCTACCATCTTCCCTCTGTCATGCATGATGAACATTTAACATATAAATTGTTCAAGTCCTTGGGATTTTTATTTATTAAATGATCATCTTAGTCAATTTTATTGATAAAGTATAATTTGTGTTTTTCTGAATTAATGTTCAGTGCATGCTCAAATTGTTGGGTTTCGGTTTGTTTTGGCCACAAAATTCTGACTAGGACTCGCATCCGCTTTGCTTGTGCAGCACTTCAACATCCCAGTGTTCCCAGTGACCCTCACGCAAAAGTATATGCACCTCACTCTGGACTAGCGAGATAGAAGTGAAGTTTTAGACGTGAAAGCAGCCGTAAGTGGGTCTGCATGAGTTGATAAGGATTTCAACTGAGTAGTAATTAATTTGTTTTGAAAATTTTCATCTCTTTTTCTTTTTCTAATTTTGACTTTTGTTTCTGTTTCATTTACATGATGACTGCAAAATGTTTTTGAATGTTAATGGGTTGCAGTCAACATGTTAAGAAAATGTAGTACTAGCCTGTATTGCCGTAGTTTTCTATTTCCCCTTCATAACACCTTTTCTTTGCATGAGATATTTGTCTGTTGTTGCGGTAAAGTATACAGACACCTAAAATGAAAACCAAATAAGTCTGTAGGTTCTCTTGTTATGTTCATGTTATGTTTAGGTTGTAAAAAATTTGTTCTGTATTACCATTGAAATGATGTCGGGGTATCATCTTTTTTTTAACTTGCACTTCAGTATTTTGAGGATGTATGTTATGCATGATTTTGATTGTGTTTCTAGATTTTTGGTGTTTGGTCTTGTGTTGTTGTATTTGTGTTCCAATAGTCTACATTTGAGAAGAGGAATTTATTTTGCATGCATTTTTTAAATATGAATGTGGATATGATACACCATCTTTGTCGTGGGTTTTGTGTAAGTCGATCTCATGGTCCCTCTATTTTACAGGATGCCGTTATCAATGAGCTGAAGCACAAAACTCGTGCAGTGCAAGAAAAGAAACTGCTGCAGCAGGACGAGGTCTACAACGGTGCACTGGAAGACATCCTCCTCGGGCTGAAGAGCGAGCCCTACCGACGCGCCGACGCAGTTCGCCGGTCGCAGCGTCGCCACATCGACAGCAACCGGCTTTCGAGGAACATGGAGATGGATTTCTGATCTTACCACATTGTGGTATAATTTCCATTTCTAAATTGCAAATTTTGCACGATTTGAGTTCTCTTTAAAATTGTCTCTTTAAAGGAAAGAAATCTTTGGACTGTGGTTAAGGAGCCACAGGCAGTTCTGTGATATAAATTTCAAGAAATATGACAGTCTTGAATTTTCTTTTGGGGCTTGACCATGCCCCTGGCTTGTGATAATTGTTGCCTTTGTATTATAGCTATCTGTAAATTAATATTCTTTCATGTAAGGCAGCAATACCTTTGCACATTATTTTACCACTTAAAGTGTACAAAAGTTAACCACAGCTTGATTGCCTGATGTTATTATCTATTGAGCTTTTCTTACAAATATGATGTGGGAAGGGAAAGTGCCTTAAGCTTTAATGAAGAGTGAAATTTATTGTTAAGAGAAATATGGAATCTCTCTCTCTACATATATATGTACTGTTTTATAAATACTTTGTGCCCTATCTCACTGACTGCACATAGCTGTATGTATAATTTTATCATTAGGATTATGTAATAGTATGATTAGTCAAAATATGAGCTTGTGATCCTACTCTTCTGTTTCCTTGACTTTGTACATATCCTGTTATGTACTACTACTAATTTTGAAAATGCTGTTGAAGAAATGTAAGGTCTCTTTCACTATTTGCAGAACCATTGTTTGTTAGTTTGTTTTCTTCCCCCCTTTTTTGTCGTGGCTCATAAATTTCTTATATTTTACAATGTTTGTGTATACCAGTTAGTTATCTCTATTCTGTTAATTGTGTAATTTGAATAATAACATTATTGTTATTGGGTGATCTTTTTTTTTTATTATATCTTTTTTTAACAATGTTGTGCATGTTAAAAATTTCAAATGTTCAACAATTATATGTTCTTTTTATCAAATGTATGACCCTTGTGATTGAACTTACATGTAGAATGTGTTCCTATTGTTATTTTGTGCATGAAATATCTCAGGAAGGCCTTTGAAAACATTCCAGAAGCAATTTGTATCAATACAGATGTAGTATGAAGTTATCTTCAGTTGAGATAATTTACATTCTACTTTTTTAACGCAGCGTCACTGGTCTTTTACATACCATTGTTTGACTGTAATGTTATTGTGGGGTCTGACTTCTTTGTTTAGAAGATTAGGAATCAAGCAGTTGGCACACTGATGAGTAAATTTTCATCCACCTTATCTGCATTTAGTTATCATTTGTAGCTCATCTGCACAGACGTTTACCACATTGAAGTGTCCTGCATTTATCATATTCTCAAAGTCTAATGCACTTGTTGCAAGCTTACTTCAGAGTAAAGTGAAGAATTTAATGCCCCCCTATCTCTATTCTTTTACAAAATCCTCCTTTCATGAGAGTATCTTCTGTCACTATTACGTATGTATCATGTTACTCCAAGTTGATATTTCAGTTACATATTGTGAATAAAGGTGCATCACAATATTTCAGTTCTGTTTTGAGATGACAAGACTTACTCATTGAGAGATTTCTTATGAAATAACATTTGTGATTGAGAGTTTACCTGTGAAGTTTTAAGATTTGGATTGTCTTCAACTACCATATCTCACTGCAAAGTGCAGTCAGTATATGATATTCCAAATAGTGAGCATTCTCATTTTTCAACCTATATACTCCCTCATACCTATCTTGTTGTAGTATGCACAGATATCGAACCTTTTGTTGATTCAATATTGTTATGACATGTTTCATTTTGATTGTTGAAACACTGTAGATCGTCGGGCACTCGAGTAACACTTCAATGTGTGTGAATTGGTTTCTACAGAATTTTTATTAGTCTTGTCTCATGATTGTTTTCTTGTATCTCAATTATAAGTGAGGGGCAGTGAGTCATATGGAAGGATTAAAATCTTCTTAGATTGACCCGTTGCAGTCGTTTTTAAACTCACCCTCTTCCCACACTCACCCTTGTCTCTTGACCGAACCTCCACACACGTCACAGGTCCAAGGAAGGACGGCTGCTGTAAAACACCCTGTACTTGTTGAGAGGCGTGTACACTGTATAGTACAGGCGCGGAATGCCCGCCCCCTTTCTCATGCATATCATTAAAAGTTTTCTCGCGACATGTGTCCGAGCTGAGTTAGGGCCGGGCCGGGCGCGTGGCGTGCCTGGGCGTGGGCGGGCGGGCTGGGCATGCCCGTGCGCGGTGCTGCCGTGCTGCCGCCGCCACCCCAGAGACCTTACAGGGACCGCGACCGCACCGCGATACTCCTTGCCTGCCGTGCCTCGCCTCGCCTCAGTCGGTCGATACTCTCTGCGCACAGGGAGTCTGTAGACTGATTCCGCGCTTATGCTTTCATTCGTCGCCTGTCTCTCTCGCACTCATGGGGCGTCCCGCTGTGGTGCGAGAGAGACAGCGACATCCTCCTCCGTCGACGCTGCAAACTAGGAGGCCGGCAGCGCCTTGACCGCCCCTTTACTGCTCTTTCTTTCACCGTCGCGCAGCCATGAAAAAAAAAAGACGACAGATAACGTGGATTGAAATGGAGATCGAATCCGCGACAGATGGTGAAACCCAATGTCCGCGCTTTGGGCGAGGCGGGGCGAGCTGGCTTCGAATTCGAATACATACATCAAGTGAAACGAAACGACTTTGGAAGTAAAATGGTGTGTCGTGTTTTGGCGACGTCCGTTAGCATAGTCGGCCCGGGTGGATAATCTGGTCACGCCACAGGTCACAAAACGCAGAGGGAACTGCTGGGGCCAGGGTAAAGGAATGAAATATCCGCAAGAAAAAGAGAAAATTTTAATTTTGGGCTTTTGCAAGAAGTTACAGGAAAGTTGAGATACTTTGCACCCTCTTTCCCTTTCCTCTGTTTGCTGAACTATCTTCGGAAAGGGTGCTCATCACCCAGGTATGGGTCCTTTCTGAACAATGAACTCTGGCCTTCCCTCTCCCTAGGCAGGAGTTCGGAGTATTTGACAGTGCCTGACTGCCTGACGGGGGGTTACAATGGTCTGTCCAGTGTCCATTTTCTAACCAGTCGGTCATCATGTTGGTTTTTGCTTTCGTCTTTATTAGTGTACCCCGCCGGTCCCAAAGCACTGGCGACGGCGTTCGCAGTGGACAGCGATCGCCTCCCCGCGCAAGTCACGTAGAGATCGACGGTGGGCACTTATCGAGCCTCTTCCGGGGGCGCGGCGTCGAGGTGCCGTACGCCGCTTTGCCGCTACGCCTCTCACTCGCCCATGCGCCGCCCACGACAAGCACAAGCCCATGCAGCACAAGCCGCGCTGGACTGGGCGCCCAGGCCATGCTGGCAGCAGGCAGGCAGCCGGCGAGGCAAATAACTGCCCTAACGTGGACGCCGCCGATCGGCCTAGCCCACCTCGCGCGATTTCCGATCGCGATACGTCAGGTGTGAGCGCCAGTGTGTGCGTGCAACGTGCGCACGTGTGCGTGCGCGTGCCCGTGTCCGCGCGTGCCTATAATCTCTGCTCGGCTCGCTTCTCGCTTCGCTCCACCTCTGGCGGCTCTGGCGGCCCTGCCCCTGTCCCGCCCTCCCGTCCGCCAGATCACTGCAGATCACCGTCGCGGCAGTGCTCGGCAGCTGCAGTCGCGGTGCGCGGCGCGACTCTCACACGGTCCCGGACGCCGTCCCTGACCACCACGCCGCCGTCGCGCGCCAAGCCTCGCCCTCGCACCGACGGCCCGCGCCGCGCCGCGCCCACCGGCCTGGACGACGACAAGCTCCCCGCCATGGCGGACTCCCCGCTGCCGAGACGCCGGCCCCTCGCCCTGGACGCCGTCGCCGCCCTCCTCGTCCTGGGCGTGCTCGTCGGCGGCCTGCCCAGCGTCGCCGCCAACCTCGTCTCCGACATCAACATCAAGATCGCGCAGGAGCAAGGGTGAGGCTCGCCGCGTGGATGGTGTTCCGAGCACTGCTTTCGTCGCGCTGTCTCTCTCGCACCTACACGGAACGCCCCGCGAGTGCGAGAGAGACAGCGACGGCAGCAGCGCTGGGAATCGGCCAGCCTGCCGTTCAGCGCTAATTTCCCATTGGCGCGTACAGTGGCTGGTTCGTTTCCTACTGCTTTCATTTCTCAGCGAGTGTTGATCCATCAATGAAACCCAGAGCCCGGTTCTCAGAATGGTACAGCCTTCCTTGGCTACCACAGGGCTGCCAGCTGACCGATTCCGAAACGTTTGCTTCGCCGCTCTGTCTCTCTCGCACCCCCACGGGGCGCCCCATGAGTGCGAGAGAGACAGAGCGACGAGGCACCGTTTCGGCATCCGCCTGCAGGGCTGCGGTACTGCGGTATCGCGGCCGTCGGGGTCACGTATCTCATCGGTAGCCGCCGGGGCGCGCCGGGTCGCCGGGCTGCCGTGAAGCTGCCTGGCTTGTTCGCCGCCAAAGTCTCGAAGTCTTTCGAGATTGCTTGCGGCGCTTGCGGCGACCTCACGGACCTCACCCCTTCCCTCGCCGCCGAGCCGCCGACATATTCGCGCGCAAAGTTTGGTTAACCTGACGCGGACGGACGGCGAGGACGCTGAACCCCGGCCGCCCCTCTGGCGCCGACCCGCGCTGCCCCGCGCAAGGTGCATCCTTTTCGGCGGACACTGCCGCGCGTGGGGAGTTGTTCATTTCTCCTACCTAAATGTTCGCCTACCTGTCTATTTCGCCTACCTATATTTCGCCTACCTAATAAAAATATTGAATAAAAATATTCAATAAAATATTGCCATTTTTCGCCTACCTATAGTTCGCCTACCTAATAAAAAAATTAAATAAAAATATTCAACAAAAAAACGAAAAAATCGGCGGCAAAAAGTGGCAATACGAAAGTCTCAAGAAGACCCGCCGATCAGCTTCGGTGTTCTTTTGGGAACCGGGCCTTCATTCGACGCTCCCTGCCGCGCAATTCGACAGATTAGTGGGTTCGTATTAGGCTGGCCCACCCGAAGTGCGCGCGGTTTCTGTGGTACAGTGAGAGTCCAGATTCAGAGGCCTTACCTCAGAGGGGTCACATTGGGTATTTGAACCCGCGACCCCGAGTGCCGACTCTAGTCAACTCCTCTACCCTGACCGCTCAGCCACCGAACCAGCTTGTCGGCGGCGATGTCGCAACTCCTCTTGAGCTGCCGTTCGAGAAATCTGGTCCCGAAAAAATGGTACTTTGAGCGGTCTCGAACCCGGGACCTGCTGCTTCCCACATCATGCTCTTAACCACTGAGCCACCAGGACGCTATGGCACCCGCCCTGCCTGCGCTGGTACTCAATCTTCTCTGGATATACCTCCCCAAGCAATTGGTCGCCGAAAAAATTGTGTATACTACCGGTCCCGAACCCGGGACCTGCCGCTTCCCACATCATGCTCTTCACCACTGAGCCACCGGCACGCCATATCATCCGCCCTGCCAGCGCCGGTACCCAATCTTCTCTGGATATACGTCCCCAAGCAATTGGTCGCCGAAAAAATTATCAATACCACCGGTCCCGAACCCGGGACCTGCCGCTTCCCACAACGTGCTCTTAACTACTGAGCTACCGGAGGATCATAGTGCCCGCACTGCCAGCGCTGGTACTCAATCCTCTCTGGATAGACCTCGTCAAGAAGTCGGTTGCCTCTGCCGAAAAATATGCTCATGGTACTAGTCTCGAACCAGAGATCTGCCAGTCAGGAACGCAGCACTCTAACCACTGCGCTACTAGGTTGCTACGCACAGCGTTCACCCCATCGCCGAACTTATTATTTGTCCAGCATCAAGCAAGATGGGTGGCTATTCAAGTTTGGCGCTAGGTCAGTGGCGTGCATAGCAACCTGAAATCCTGAAGAGATCTCACAAGTTTCATTTTGAGACCCGAGGCGAGCGCTCGAACGCCCGATACGTTGGCCAGGGTGTCCATCAATGACGTCATGATGACGTCGATGAGGTATTACGGCCACTTGGCACGATATGCGCGCAGTCCAGGTCCGCGGCGCGTGCGGTGTCACTGCACTGTCAGGCCCGTCAGGCCCGTCAGGCCGCGCGGCTGCGTTCGTCGTGATCCCTCATCAGGCCATCCAGGCCGTCAGGCAGGACACTGGCAGGACACTGGCAGGACGGCCGGCCGCTCATTATTCGACCCCATGGTGCCCCATGGCGCACGTGATCCCCGCGTAAGCACGCGTAAGCTATGGCCAGAGCAATAAGTTTGGCTGCCCCTCTGCCCTTCCCCCACCCCTTTTGGCTCGTTGTTTCGCTGGCCGGCAACATTGTGGAACCTGGTGGAACGAACTAGCAGTGTGAGCGCAATAGGCCCGCCAGTGGCGTACGCCAAGGGGGTTAGAATTGGGGAGGGGAGGGCAGTGGCGTGCGCAGAAATTTTGAAAGGGTGGGTCAAGCCATGCTGGTGGCCTACCTTCAGGCGAAGCGTACCGCAATTTGCACACCTTCCAGGCGGTGGTTCTTGTCTAGTGCCCAAGGGGGGAGGGAGCGGAGGGGTGTCACACACACACACACACACACCGCGGATCGAAAGATGCTAAAACGCGACGTTGCAGGCCCAACACGTGCGTCATCGAGGAGGTGCCCGGCACCGAGCACAAGATCTGGACCGAGTGCAAGTACTGGGCGGACCGCGACGTCTGCGGCAGAAAGGCGTAAGTCACACACCACTTGTTATTTTTCTGCTTTGCTTCCTGAACTGATCTTCCAACCAGCAGACTGATTCCGCGAGTCGTTGTCATCGCTCTGTCTCTCTCGCGCCACACGGCACGCCGCATGAGTGCGAGAGAGACAGAGCGATGAAAACGACTCTCGGAATGAGTCTGCAGTGCACTGACTTACTCGGCCCGGCCGCAGCGTGGTGCGCTACGACTGCTGCGAGGGCTTCAGTCGCGTGGAGGGCCAGCACGGCTGCACTGGCGGTAAGTCTCGCTTTCTTTTCTTTCAAGTCACTCGCCGTTTTAAAGTTTCGCGCGGAAAAGGCGCCGCTTGTGGGCGTGCGCGAGTTGCCTGATTTCCCGGGGGCCGCTTCGTTGTGCCGCCGTACCCAGGCTGTCCTACCGTCCTGGTACCCAACACTTCGCGCGCCGCGCCCTCGCCGCCCACGACTCACAGTGGACACGCCGCGACACGAGCACCTCGACTCGACACGTGCTGAGGCACGTGCGCCAAGTTTCGCCACAGGGCGGCCATGTAAATTTTGGCCATGAGCCCCGGACAAGTTTTTAATTCCGTCGCACATGCTTGTGCCTCGGGGTGTGGGCTGTACACGGGTGTAATGCCAAGGGTCAGTCTTTAGCCATGTGTCGGATCCACCTGCCTCAGGTCCTTTCCTCACCAACCCTCCTAACCCCTTTTGATAGGGTCTCACCTCTGTTAAAAACTACGCGCAACTCTTTCCCCGTTCCGGCCAAAGTATGAGAAATTGTAAAGAGCATTTCGAGGGCGGCCGGCGATCAGTGCATGACTAGTTCATCACGTTCATGTTTCTCTCCCACTGTATAGGGCTCTACCCTGCGGACTGATTCCGAGAGTCGTTTTCGTCGCTCTGTCTTTCCCCCACTAATGGGGAGTCCCACGTAGGTGCGACAGAGACTGAGCGATGAAAGCGACTCTCGGAATGAGCCTGCTGACCTTTCTGGCCGCTGTGCCCGCAGTGCTGCCGCTGCAGGACGTCGTGAAGACGGCCGGCGCCGCGGGGGCGGCCCGCTTCGCCGCGCTGCTGGAGTCGTCGGGGCTGGCGGACCAGCTGCGGGCCGAGGGCGCGGCCTTCACGCTCTTCGCGCCGTCCGACCAGGCCATGGATGTAAGCCAGCAAGCCCGCCCGCCGCCGGTGTAGGCGCCGCCAAAAGACCGAAACGCCGAAAGGGACTAAAGGACTCATGAAAAATTCAAAACTCCGCGCACGCGGCCAACTCGTTAAAGGTGGCGCCGCCGCCGGCCGCCTGGATGCCGAGAGGACCGTTTCGTCGCTCTGTCTCTCTCGCGCGCCTTCGGGGCGCCCTGCGAGTGTGACAGAGACAGGGCGACGAGGCGGTCCTTCGGAAACGGGCGACAGTGCGGAGGGGATCATGAAACAAGCCGGCCACCGCGGCCAGACAGCGCGGCAGACGGAGCAAGTATGGTAATGGACGCGAGCTTGAACTTGAAACGCCGCAGAGTTTCGCACTTTCCTTCCAGCCACCAGCCTGAGGGCCTGAGGGAGGGGCAAAGTAGCACTTTTTGCCTACTTACAGGGACCAAGTGTTGCTTTTTGCCTCCTTTTCAGGCGGCTTCCTAGATGCCAAGGTGGTACTTGTCGTCCCTTTACACACACACAGAGAGAGAGAGAGAGAGAGAGAGAGAGAGAGAGAGAGAGAGAGAGAGAGAGAGAGAGAGAGAGAGAGAGAGAGAGAGAGAGAGAGAGAGAGGAGAGATGAGAGAGAGGCACAGACAGACAGACAGACAGACAGACACACACACACACACACTGCATCCCTCCCTGTTCGCAGGAGCTGACGTCCTCCCAGCTGGCGGCGCTGCGGGGCGCGCGCGCCGACAACCCGGTTCTGAACCACCACGTCGTGGCCAACAAGCAGCTGTCCAGGGCGTGGGGCGCGGACCAGCTGCTGCCCAGTCGCCTCCGCGGCAGCAGCCTCCGCGTCAACAAGTACTCCAGCAAGGTGCGGCTCCGTGCGGTTTCAAAAGGGTCGTCGCTTTGTCTCTCTCGCACCACTCTACGGGACGCCCCGCAGAGACAAACTGACCGAGACAGCGCGACGAGTCTTTTGAATCAGCCTGCGGTGTGTTGGTAATCGCTGCGCTGCTCCGCAGATCGAGACGGTGAACTGCGCCACGATCGTGCGCAAGGACCAGGAGGCCTCCAACGGCGTGGTGCACATCGTGGACACCCTGCTGGACCCGGAGCGGTCCACGTACTCCGACCTCTCCACGGCCGTCGTACAGGTACGCCAACAACAAAAACAAAGAAAACATCGGAAAAAACACTCAACAAACAACAAGAAAATGAGCGGCCGTGATGTGATGCCACCAGGACGGCCGGTTCCGGCAGCTGTCGCGGCTCATGCAGCGCTCCGAGCTGTTCAACGCGATGCGCAGCCACAACCAGGCCTACACGCTGCTCGCCCCCAACGACGAGGCCTTCCAGAAGATGCCCGCCGCGCGGCTGCAGCGCCTCGAGAACGACGACCAGGCCAGAGAAGGTGCACTGGGAATCGAGAAATGACGCCACGTCCGTTTGCGGGGATCGTGTCATGTTCGTTTGAATACTGCGTCATATTCGTTTGAACGTGAATCCGGAAACGAATGTGACACGAAATTGTAACGAATGTGACGTCACATTCCCGGATTCCCAGTGGTGTAACACGGCCGACCAAAAGAAGGAAAAGCAACAAAAACCTGAAAGATAAAAGACGCCGCTGGGAATCGAACCCGACACCCTTGACTTCTCCTTGCAGCACTCCTCCGGCACCTCGTGCTGCCGCACCCCGTGTGCCTGGGCGCCGTGGTGGGCCCGCACCGCTTCCCCACCAAGGGCCCCGAGAGGCTGGCCTTCGACTGCGACGCGCGCGGCGTGTCCGTGGAGGGCATGCGCTTCGGGGCGGGCGCCACGGCGGACATGACGCTGGCCGCGGACGGCTTCCTGTACATGCTCGACGAGGTGCCGCTGCCCAACCGAGGCGAGTCCACCAGCATCAGATTAGCACAGCGGTTCCCAACCTTTTTCGGTTCGCGACCCCAAATTTGTAGCCAAAAATTTCCGCTATCCCCAGAAAGAATTTTGCGACCCCAAGCGACCCCTCCTTTAGCATGCCTTTGATACAAAGTGCGATAATCCGGCTTAGTTCGGAAGCAGTATTGTCTCCAAGTTGGTCAAAACGGTCACAAATGTCTGTGAAAAATCGTGTTTTGGGCCGACTTTGAGCATCTACTGCGTCTGATCCGAGGCGGTATTTCGTCCTCCCTCAACGGGCAATTGGTCTTTGGACCTTCGTTTTGCATGCCTTTGTTACGGAAAGCGATTATCTGCCTTAGTTTGGGAGCAGTATTGCCGCAAAGTTGATCGAAACACGATTTTTCAGACATTTGTGACCGTTTTGATCAACTTTGCGGCAATACTGCTCCCAAACTAAGGCAGATAATCGCACTCCATAACAAAGGCATGCAAAAGAAAGGTCCAAAGACCAAATGCCCGTCGAGGGAGGACGAAATACCGCCTCGGATCAGACGCAGTAGATGCTTAAAGTCGGCCCAAAACACGATTTTTCACAGACATTTGTGACCGTTTTGATCAACTTTGCGGCATTTAAGCAGTGTAGGTTGGTTCGTCTCCTTTCTCTGTCTCACGGCGGCCGGCCCGTTTTGCAGTCAAGACCCTGCTGCAGCTGACCCAGGACGAGCGCCTCTACAGCTTCGGGGAGGTGGTGCGAGCCGCTGGGCTGGAGTCGCTGCTGGACGGGCCAGGCGACTACACGCTGTTCGCGCCGTCCGAGGCCGCCATGGCCTGTGAGTACTTTTGTGATCCACCCCCACTGTTCAGGTTCGTTACCTGATATTGCTGACCTCCATGGTATTATTATCGTGAAAAAATGAACCAATAATGGTGTGAGAAGGAAAGGAACTAATATCTGTGTTCGACGACCGTCCGCAGCGCTGCCGTTCGGCCAGATGAACAGACTGCGCGCCGACCAGGGCGCGGCGCGGAGCTTCGTGATGCTGCACGTTTCCAGGGGCCGCATCCTCACCGAGACCATCACGGACAACCAGGTACGCCGGGAAGGGGAAGAAGTGCCCGTCGACGGCGGCAGAGGTGCCCGTCGATCGACGCAGTGCTTGGGTGCGCGTCCCGCGGCGTCCCGTCAACACGGCTGCTTCCCGTTCCAGGTGGCCCAGACCCTGGAGAGCGACTCGCTGCGGCTGCAGGTGTACCGCAAGTCGTACGGCGTGGAGGACGCGCTCGTCGAGCGCGCCGACGTGCAGGGCCTCAACGGCGTGCTGCACGTCATCACCAAGGCCCTGCGCGCGGCCAACGCCACCCTGGAGGAGACGCTGCGCCAGGACGCCAACTACACGTGAGGGTTCATCCGCATGAACAGTGGCGCACCCAGTGACGCCCTCAGAGGGGGGAAAGCAGCACGTTTTGCCTACGTACAGGGGCAACGTGTTGCTTTTTTTCTACCTTCCAGGCGGCTATCTAGGGGTCGAGGAAAGGGCAATCGTCCTTTTGCCCCTCCCCCAAATCCGCGCTTGCGTATAACTCTTCTGTCTCTCGCACACTCACTGGCAGTTCATCAGGAACAACAGAGCTAAGAAAAACGTTACGTGGACGACCCCTAAGCGTGACGGTAAAGTTAGAAAGTAGATTTGGCTATAGCAAACATTGAGCGGTATCGGTCGCTTGGGATGGTTGTTTCTGTGGCAGTGTGGTGGCCTGACAGCTTCGCGATGTCACGCGCAAATTATTGTCCGAGTCTGATCGGTAGGGGCGTTAATTATCATCGGACACGCGAGGCGTGGCGCGGCGGGGTGGGCGAGGCGGGGTGTGTCGAGGCGGGGCGGGGCGGGTGTCCCCAGAGAGGAAACCCTAGACCCGGCGACGCCTGTATACACACTGCCTACCGAGGCTGCCGCTGCCGAGTCACCAAGAAACTCGCGGAGGGAATCGATCCTTCGCCGCTTTGATGGTTCGAATTGTCCTTTTTGTTTGGACGCCAGCACTTTCCTGCGCGCCATGGACCGCCTGCGCGAGGACTCGGCCAACTCGCTGGAGTTCCGCGGCAGCCGCACGGCCTACACGTTCCTGGTGCCGTCCGACGAGGCCTTCCAGCGCCTGGGCGTCACCAGGCTCAAGCAGCTGCTCGCCAACACCACCCTCCTCGCTAGGGTAACCTAACCTCAGCCAGCAGTTCAATAAGAAGCTTAAAAAAAATTGTGCTAGTTTTGACGTGTATTGATCTCCAGACGTTGAAGAACCACGTCGTGGACGACATGGTGGGCACCGAGTCCTTCCGAGAGAACCTGCAGTACGCAGTGCCGTCTCGGTACGGCGGTCTGAACGTGACCAGGGCCGATGGCAGGCTCAAGGTAAAGCCGAATTCCGTTTCGAAATGTTGACTTTTAAAAGGAGGCTTTGCGCTTAAAGTGTGGCGTCCGCCCCGCAGGTGAACGACGCGACGGTGCTGACGTGCGACCGCACGAACCGCCAGGGCGTCGTGCACTACATCAACAAGGTGCTGATGCCCCCGGACCACCACCACCACCACCACCACGTCACCGTCGTGGCGCCCTCCGTGCCGCCCTACGTGACGCAGCGCACGCAGGTCCACTGGGAGGAGCGCGTCGAGGAGCGCGACGAGAGCGACCAGGACGACGACGAGGAGTACGTGGACCCGGACCTGGGGCGCGTGGACCCGGACCTGGGGCCGCTGCCCGAGGTGTACCGCGGCAGGGAGCGCGCCGGCCTCGGTCAGGGCCTCGGTCAAGGCCTGCAGGAGCACCGCTACCGAGAGGACCGCGTCGGGCCCCGCCACTACCAGCACCAGCAGCAGCACAATGTAGTGGACCAGCGCCACCAGCGCAACCAGTACCACCAGCAAAGCCAACACCACCAGCGCCACAACGCGGCGCGCGTGCAGCACTCCACGCACCACTACCTGCAGTCCGGCAGCAACAACTACTAGCCGAGCTAGCTGCGTCACTGTAGGAGGTTCGCTCGAGCTGCCACAAGAGCGCCTGGAAGAGAAATATGGTATGTGGATAGAATGTGAAATAAAGTTAATGAAAAAAGAGCGAAACAGTAATGGCTTGGGGTTTTCTGGGTTATCCGGCGACGGTCATCCGGGGTAATCCCCCTGCGAAACAGAGACAAGAAAATCGTTCCCAATAACCGTCGTCGCACCAGTCTGCATCTGATAACCGCAAACACGCCTGGACAAAGATGCCCCTCCTTGTCCGGGGTGGGATGCCACCCGGCGGGCACCAACTCACGGGCTGCGTCGCCGCGACCTCTCGTCCGGACAGCCGATAAGCCGGGCTGGGCGCCCAGCCCTCCCCCTCCCCCTCCCCCTTTTCCCCTTAGCGTGCCGTCAGCGAGAGAAGGGAAATACTTTGTCGCCCCGGGCCGAGTTCGTTCTTCCCATTATCTGTCCGGGGCGCCCGGACTCATACTGATGTGGTTCGGCCGGGCGTGGCGTGGCGTGGCGGGCGGGGCGGGGCGGGGCGGGGCGGGGCGGGGCGGGGCGGGGCGGGGCGGGGCGGGGCGTGGCGGCACGCCCTGGCACGCCCTTCGCCGCCTCCGCGACGCGCGGGCCCTCCGCCAAATTCTATTAAGTCTCCCGGCCCTCCGAGTGTTGCGCCTACCCGCTCTCTTATGCCCGGCCAACTTCTTCCATCCCTTCTTGCGGCACTCCGACTAGTACTACTTCTCGGAGGCAGTGTTCCAGGCCGACGGGCGCCAGCTGACTGATTCCGAGAGTCGTTTTCGTCGCTCTGTCTCTCTCGCACTCATACGGGACGCCCCATGAGTGCGAGAGAGACAGAGCGACGACTCTCGGAATCAGTCTCCAGTCGGACACCGCCGGCCGCACACACGCAGGGGAGGGGGCAGACGGGCAGGGTCTTCGCGGCGCCGCGCTGCTCAGCACGTCGCAAGGGCGAGGCCGACCAACTTCTCTCCGCCAACATAAAGTCAACGGGAAATTTCACCGGACGCCCTTGAGAACAAACAACACGTGTTTTTCGTTGTATTTTTTTTCGCGGTGGGCATCCCAGCCGGAAATGAATCGTCATCGACTTGGTGTTGACCTCTCTTTGTGTTCAATAAATCGACTCAAAAATCATCATCATCGGCCAAAGACATCATGGGTCAGTTTTGAGGTGATTTCTGCTGGACCATTTATACGGTAAATTTCGAATCGATAGAAATTAATTTCTATGTTTGAGAGTCGTATCATTTTCGGCGGTCTGTTCCAGTTTTCCAAAGAAGAGAACGTGGAAAGTTGTCTCACAACGGCAGGAAGGTGGTAGTCCCTGTCTTCCCCGACGCCCCGCCCTCCCCTCCCCTTACCCCTCCAATACCCTTCTCTCTTCCCCTCCACTCCCCCTCCAATACCCACCCTCACTCTCCCCCTCCCCTCCCCTCTTCCTCCCGGCCAACCCGAGGGCGGTTGGCGGTATCTGACGTCCGTCGCCATGACGACGCGCCATCGTGTTGTCGTCGAGCCGCTTAGCTATTGTTATCTAATTTGGGGCCGCACGGCGGGGCCGCACGGCCGGGCACCACGACGGGCACGGCGGGCACGGCGGCCGGCAGGATGCAGGCGAATCGAATTGCGCGTCGCAGAGGACGCGGGGCGGGGCGGGGCGGGGCGGGGCGGCCGGCTACCCCTATCCCTGTAGCGGCGCCAGCATTGCCAACAAGTCGAAGAGGGAGAGAGAGAGAAGTTCCACGGATTATATTTGTGGAACACCGAACCGGAAAGTGAGCCACATGGTCGCTGGCAGGGCAGGAAAACTGAAAATACGACGCGCGGGGGCGACTTGGTGTGGAACCTCTCGCTCGCTCTCGCGCACTCCACATCAGCTTGTCTCTTTCTAGCCGCAGCCGGGCCGCCGCGTGTCTGGGACTCGCCGCTTAACCCCCTTGATGCCGGTGGCTTCGTTCGGCGTCGTTGGGTTACGAGATCGGACTCGTGGCGGCCACGGGTGCCGCGCAGGTACGCGACCAAGATTCGTCGCTCTGTCTCACTCCCACCCGTCCGGAAGCGCCGCGAGTGCGAGAGAGACGGAAGCGATGATGGGCGTCGCTCCGCAGCGGCGAGGCGCGAGGCCGGCGAGCGCAGCGGTGCCGAACGCCCGCGAGGACGGCGGGTAGGCCCGCCCGTGGCGCGGCCGCGTGCGGCGGAGAGCCTACCCTCGACTTGGCAGGCGCTCCGCGCTCCGCTCCGCAAGCAGACGGATGCCGAGAGTCGTTCTCGTCGCTCTGTCTCTCTCGCTCTGACGGGCACCCCCTACAGGTGCGAGAGAGACGGAGCACTACAGACTGCAGCTGGGGCTGCCCGCCGCCTGGAGGGCCGGCCGCCGTCTGCAGTCGGGCTGCAGTGGCGGCTACCGGACTGGCGCCGGAGGGCACGGCGCTCTCCGCAGCCTCGCACGCGCACCGCGCACGCACTCGCTTTTGGCGGGCGAAATCGACCGAGAACACAACACAAAGAGAGACCAGCGCAGCAAACACATCAGCACGAGCCGTATAACACCTGCAACGCGCGCACACACGGCGCCGCGCCGCGCCGCGCCGCCCCGCGCAGTTTCCGGTTCTCGTGTCTGCATTAGCAATGGAGATGCTCGCGGCAGTGGCGGTCCTGCCGGCCGCTGCTCGCTGCCTCTGCAGACCGATTCCGAGAGTCGTTTTCGTCGCTCTGTCTCTCTCGCACCTATACGCGACGCCCCATGAGTGCGAGCGAGACAGAGCGACGAAAGCGACTCTCGGAATCAGTCTGCAGCGCCGCGCTCCGCCGCCACGCCGCTACGCCCAGTCGTTTGCCGCGCCATAAAAAGGGCGCGACGCGACGCCTCCGCCAGCAAGGCAGCACGCCGCCGGAGTGGCGGTGCGGGTCGCGGCCACGCCGCGCCGCGTCGCGCAGGCCGATTGGCCGATTGGGACCGCGTGGCGGCGGTTAGGGATGTAAAAATACCGGTAAGATTCAAAGTTACGTAAATAACGGTAAAATACGGTATTTCACTGTATTATACAATATATTTGGGTAAAGTAAAATTTTATCGTTTTGATCCACTTTGCTGCGATACAGCTCCAAAACTAAGGCGGCTAATCACACTCCGTAACAAGGGTGTTCTAAAGGAAGGCCCAAAGACCACCCACCCGTTGACGGAGAGCGATTGGCCGCCTTAGATTAGACGCAGTGGCTGCCCAAAGTCAAATCAGTCCACTGGGAAGTGTAGCTCGGGGGCAAAGGTCATCGGCGGCGGCGGGATGCAGGACCCTCTCGCTTCCCCTCTTTTTAAAACATTTCCTTAGAATGGGAAACGCATATTCCCCGCCCCTTCGTTCTCCACCCAGCTGCAGCAGGGTCCTGGCAGCGGCGCGCCGCCCGACACGCGGGACGCTTCCGAATAATGGTAATTGGCGCTCAAAGGCCGTCCGGCCGCTTGGCCTCTGCTTTGCCTGTCGCGTGTGCTTGACGCGGCACAATGGATATTAGACAGCGGCGCCCCTCTGGCCGCCGCCTCGCCGCCGCGCGGTGCAGCAGGCCGATTCCGAGCCGCGCGTTCCGTGGCGCCGTCTCTCTCGCACACTCGCGGTCCGCCGCATGAGTGCGAGAGAGACAGAGCGACGGAGGCTCGGTTCGGAGTCGGCCCGCCTGCAGCAGGGGGCGTTTAGCTTGTCATTTCCCCGCCCAATATCGCGGCGCACCGGCCGCCCCTCGTCAAAGTTGTCCGCAACTCTTTAATCTCGCCGCAGACACCCTTTGAGGCGGGCGGGCGGGCAGGCAGGCAGGCAGGCGGGAAGGTAGGCAAGCAGGTAGCTGCCAGAACTCGAAGACACCGAGCGGCAGCACGATGAGGACGACGGGGACGACCAGCACGGGAACTTTGTACGTATTTTCCATTTTATTTTTAGTCCCGACCGCATCGTGCGTTCCGCGGTTTTCCAAAGGGCCCGGCCAGGCAAAGCGGTAGGGGAGGTAGGGGTGCGGGGCGGCGGGGCGGCCACCATCAGGGGTATCTCGATGTCCCGGCGGAGGCCAGCACGGCCAGCACGGCGGCCGCCGGACTCAAAGCGGCGCAGAAGAGGCTACGGCGGGGAGCAGCGGACCGGGAAAAGAGAGGGTTGGGCGCAGGGAGGGGGGGAGAGGGGGGGCTGCCGAGGGGTGCTGGCTGCGCGTAGGCCTACGCCGTGCCTGCCGGGCGCGCCGCCAGACTGGTTCCGAGAGTCGCTTTTGCCGCTCTGTTCCTCTCGAACTCATAGGGCGTCCCGCATAGGTGCGAGGGAGACAGAGCGACGAGGACGACTCTCGGAATCAGTCTGCCGGCCGTGCTCTGGCCGTGCCGCGCCACCGCAAGGACCGAGGACCGCACCGTCGTCCTGCAGTGCATCCCCGAGGAGGAATGCTACCCGGCTGCCTTCCGAAAGCAGTGCCCCCGTCGCTCTGTCTCTCTCGCACCCTGGCGGAAGGCCCGCGAGCGCGAGGGAGACGACAGGCGCGCTGCGTCCGGGATCGCGGCACACTGGCACGACGGCAGCGCCACCGCAAGCCATGTGTTTCCGCCGGGGCACCTTATGGCATCGCCTTATGGCATCGCCTTGCGAACACGGCGCGTGGCTTTGGCCGAGTTGCCGGCAGCCGTCTGATTCCGAGCACTGCTTTCGTCGCTGTGTCTCTCTCACACTCATGGGGCGCCCCGTAGGGGTGCGAGAGAGACAGAGAAGCAGACCACCTGCATACCAGTCGCAGTCGCGTACTCCACAACCCGCGCAGCAGACAGTATTCCCAGAGTCATTCTCGTCGCTCTGCCTCTCTCACACTTTTAGAGGATCCCAATGAGTGCGAGAGAGACAGAGCAACGAAAGTGGCTCTCAGCCAGCACGCCAGCATTTAGCAGTGCGCCCGGGCGGCGCGGCGGGCTCGGTCCGTGCAGCTCGATCGAAATGCCAAACTGATAATTCACAGGTCATGGCGTCACCCAGTGCAGCCACACGCCAAGCGGATGCTTCCCAAAACCAGCGCAAAGGCGAACAAGCGCGCAAAATTTGTAAATTTCTTTATTTTA